AAATACGGAAAGAAGAAGTGATAGTAAAGGTTCAAACTCATCATAATTGATTAATTAAAATAAAATACCTCATACATTAAAGAGAAAACTGTTTTATGCGCCACAGTTATAATGCTGAAGAAATAAATCATTTGAGAAACCGATAGATTTTGTAAGAACGAAAAATTCCTAAATCTCAATTATTACAAAATGAAAAATCTGTAGGTAAGTGTGTGTGCATGTTATGTTTGTTCTTCGCAATGTGTCAAAACGGAGCCCTTACAGCCACCAAATTTTGAATAAATGTAGTCCTCCACCCGAACAAGTGCCCTTCGAAGCCCGAATTTTCGAATTTATATTATGTAACAAACTCAACGATTTAAAAGCAATATGTTGCCGTTCGGCAAAGCGTACAATATTAATGTTTCAAATTTAATGAGAAAACTCAGCGATTTAAATGTAATTGTTAGCACATGAAAAAGCATAAGATATTCGTCATTCAAATTTAATCAACAAACTCAGCGATTTATAAGAAATGTATCGCCACTACCAGAAATAAAATAATTTCAGATTTCACGTTCGAGCGTGCTGCCATTCGGCAAAGCATAAAACATTTAATTTATTTTCAAATTTTATCCGTCTGTTACTGATTAACAAACTATCTAATTTAAAAGAATAAACGAAGTTCTTTACATCCTATCGTTATTATTATCTGGATTTGTGAAATTACAATTACACAAGCTGGACTGAATTTAAATCAGTATATGATTTTTTCTTTTTTATGATAATTATTTCAGGTGGCTAGTTTATTAAAAGACGAGAAATATAACTGTTTACTTTCGATAAATTATTTAAATACAATTTATTATCGGATATCTTGACTACAGTAGACGCCGCTTAATTGCGATGCCGTTTGCTCACCGCTATTTTAATAACATTAACTAATGATAACATTAAAGAATGAAAAAAATGTCATTCAAAATAGCAATGGAATTTAACTAATTTAATATTATAACTAAAATCATACAAATAGGCACTTTCACAGAATTTTAGGTACTGTCTTGTTATCGGGAACGGATTCAGAAATACATGAATGTATACACGTGAGTACGTATGTATGCGCATGTATGTGTATGTATGTATATACACACACATACATTCCTACTTGCAAATACATATATATACATACATTTCTGAATCCAGTCCTGATAACGGAATGGTACCGAATTTCAATTACGAAAATGCAAAGGTTTGTTTATGAAATTTTCATAATGACTTTAATGCAATAATGCATTAATGAACCGTTCATAACGTTTCTGGAAATTATTGGAATAATGTGACTAACCTTAACACACGGACGTCATTTCTCATTTGAGAAGAGCTTACTAATGTAAAATTTAAAATTAGGCCAAAAAAAAAGCAAACTTAGTTTAACTTAGATGTTTTCAGAAACACATTTTTTCCCTACAAGGAAAAAAAACGAAAGAGATAAAGAATTCTGCAGTTTTTAGTCCAAAGGAGCAATTTGCCCATAAAGACTTTTAATTTCGTTTTGGCATTTTGCGTTGGTTCACTATCAATGTCGGTTCACTTTTCAAATTATTGCCCCCTAATATTAGAGCCCTTTATTATATTTAAAGAAATTAAATGAAGAATCTGCATAAATGTATGCATGTTTCTCGCATTGTGATAAAACAACGGTTTCTAGAGCCATTCAAGTTTAAATAACATACGTTTCCACTCGAAAATGGGCATCTGTACGCCCAAATTTCGAATTTGTTTTATTATCGATTTCATATTTTGTAAAACTTATATCTCATTAACAAACTCAACGATTTCGAAGCGAACAATGGCAACACTGTACGAAGAAAAAAAAAAAAAAACATTTTTATCTTCAGCGAGAAAGACTCTGTATCGGAAATTTTAAAGATATACTCATTTTTAAATTAATCTTCGATATTACTGTTGAACTGAATTTTATAGTTTGAGTACGTAGAACATGTTATTTAATAAATAAAAGTAACGCACGCACACATCGTTAAAAAGTCACCCCTTTAGACGTAATTTAAAATCTAAAACCTTTCAGTTTTTTTTTTTTTTTTTTCTGAAGAAAAGGAATCTGTGTGTGTTTGATCCCGTCAAAATCGGTAGAATTATTGAAAAAATCTACCCCAAATTAAGTTTTTTTTCACCTAATTCTGAATAGTTGATTAAAAAGAGAGTTTGGCAAATTAACCCCTTCCTTGGCGACCTTTCTTTGTAACTTGACAATTTTTATAATGCATTACTATTTGGCAATTTTCTTCAATTTAAAAATGTAATTATATAATACGTAATATTAGCCGAATTGTTGATCACAGTAAGGGACGTTTTGGTATATAGTTCGGCAATTCGATAACAATATCCGAAGATAACGTTAACCACGATACATTAAGTAGCGTCTACTATACTATAGACATAATTCTTTCACGCAGAGATTCCCATGCGACCTGTAAAAGATTTTACAGGTTCTTATCGAACAAAATGTTTCAAGAAACACTGACTAAATTGTGTCGGAGTTCTGTTTGGCTCTTTCTTTACAGTGAATCTGAGCGATTAGGAATCTTCCGAGTGGATTTTGTGATAAGTAATAACAATACTTGCATTCATCTTCCTTTCTTCAGTTACTTTATTTTGACTTTCTTTTATCGCTTTTTGAATAATGTAGTTTTGAGGACCCATCAAAGAGGCGCTAAGTTTATTTCTTACAAATCGCTTGCGCGGACAACTTCTTAGAACAGTTATAAAAAAATAAAACACAAACACACATATATATAATGCTATTAATTAGCCTAACTAATATAATTTTACTGGTGCAGCTAGTAATTAATAATAAGACAGATGAAGATTTTGTTAATATGTAAAAGACAGAATAAATTTCTAAGAAAATTTAAATATCTTTCGTTTTGCCGAATAGCAATAATGTAATACTGGTGTGTAGAGTTCTTACGATTTTGCAAAGGGGAGTTGGTTAAATTATTTATTAGGATAATGAATATTTGTATTAAGGGATATTGCTTATTTCATTGTAATTTTGTTATACGTAATAACTTTTGTTTTATGAAGTTGTTCTGCAGAGTAAAATTCTACGCAGTTTTTAAATTTAACGTTTGCTGTTCCCTTCAGCCATTTTTCCGGTACATTTAAAAGCCAGACGAAAGCTGGCAGCGAAGCTGCTAGTATGCAATAAAACTTTCTTTGGTACTGTTCTGTTATCAGGACAGGATCCTGAAATGGATCCAGAAATAGATGCATGTATGTATGGTGTATGTGTTCATGTATATAAGCATGAATGTAATATACATGTATATAAGCATGAATGTATGTGTATGTATACATATACACATACATATATATATATACATACATATATATATATATGAATGTATATATGGTGTATATGTTCATGTATGCATGTATATATATAAGCATGAATGTATGTATATACACATAAATGCACATGCATACATACACACGCACATACATTCATACATTTCTGAATCTAATCTCGATAGTACCCTTTCTTTTACCATATATAACAACGACAGCATTATCACAATATTTTGTAACGTCATCAATTAAATAATCCTCGCAAAATATTGTATAATATTTGAAAAAAAAATATATAATAAGCATATTTTCTTAATTTTAAAGGCATTAATATTTTTTTAGTATTTCTATAAAGGTGTAGATAATTTTTCTCCCATAGTTACCAATAATTCTATTTTAAAATGCATTGTCTACAATTATCGTCATTTCTACAACAAAAAGTTTAACAATCAAATGATAGGTATAAATCCAGTTACGGCAAGGTAATACAGACACACACAAAGTATCAGTGAAGTAATTTTCGATAACTGTTGAAGAAAAACTGTGATAAAAAGTGAATATGCCACCTCCTCAAGAAAGTTTAATTTTGCTTATCAAAAAGTCTTATTTGTGATTGACAGTTTAATAAGAAACAATTTACTGTTTGTGGAATAGAATGGCTTGAATTTAACTGCGAGAACAGAATGAAACTGCAATTCATCTGCAAGTACTTACAATAAAAGAATAATACAAAAATTTTTTTTTTTTTTTTTTTTTTTTTTTTTTTTTTTTTTTTTTGATTTTACGAAAAATGTACAAGTAAGAAATCTAATGTTCTTTTTAAAAATGATTTTTTCCCCTTTTCTGGAAAATAAAATGTACGTGAAGCGTAATGTCACGTGCTATTTATTATTCTCAGAATAAATATATTTAGAAGGAAATATGAAGCTTTTGAAGATGATCCATCATATCAGCTAATTTTATTCTAAAAAATATTACGCCGGTTAAGTAAGATTTTTTTTTCTTAGACTTTTCTTTCCCTTTCCAAATCCCACATTTTAGCCAGCAAAGAAAATTAAAATTAAGTAAAACAACAACCTTAGATTGCATATATTTTTAATAACACTTTGTCTGTTTGGATGGTAATCAGATATTAGTCTCTCTTCTTCAAAAGTTAAAAAGGGGAGGGGGAATGTCTTTACTCCTGCAGAAGAGAAACCTATGTCTAATTGCTCACAAAATAGATAAGAGTTTTTCCAAAAACCTATGTCAGTCTGTGGCTGCTTCCAGTGTAGAACTTAAAATTAGAAATGAGGAGCCTAATTTTAAATGCTACACTGGTATATTTCTCATCTAATGGAAATTTTTTTTAAATAATAATCACAACATATACGACTGCATATTAAATTTTAAATTATTATTATAACTATTATTAAAACTTTTATAGCAATGCATTTATTTTACATTGATTGATTTCTTGATCAATGATTTTTTATGCCTTAAATTCTTAATTATTTTACTTATATTTTCAAAATCTTCTCTGGTTCTAAATATTTATTAAAAATTATGCGGTTGTGTGGGAGAAGGAATTCTCAATGGGTAGGGTTAAATAATACCAAAATATAAATTTGCAATCTAATATGAAACAAAAACAACATAAAAAAATTGCTTACCTGCTACAAAGTGCTGTATAAAATCAAACAGAAATAAAATCCATACAGCATATAATAAGTAGAGATCCATATTTCTCCATGTCATGAGCTCAACAAAAAATCCATCTTCATATACGTTCTCTTATGTTCAAACAGCAGCATCTGCATATCACATCTTGGTAACTTACTAGCGCGTAATGAACTAATCAACGCATCGAACAACTCTACGCAACTTTCTGACGACGCACGTCGCTTTCCACTGATCGCACGCAATTTTGCGGGACACACTGATTTTTTTTTAGTTTATTTTCCCGCGACTCCCGCCAAGCAACGCGCAAGGAGAAGTTATCAAAATAAAGCGGATGAAGTGCTGAATGAGAAAACAAGCAGACGCAACACTGCCGTTACCTGGAGACATGACGTCACGATTCGAGCGCATGCGCTATTGATGCGAGAGCTCGTTTCTTCACTGATGGAGATATTCGGTTTAAGAAGCGCTATTTTCGATGGCATAAAACTGCTGGGAGGGATTAAGAATGTTAGAAATGTATTATTCCATGCATGAGAATTTCACTTTTTCGAATAAATAAAAATACTTTGCTTTCTCAAATAAATAAAAAAATAAGCTTCCAGATTAAATCTGAAAGAATCTTAGGCTTTATAGAATAGCAACACGCTTGGGGAATAAAAGTATTTTCTTTCCGTATTATAAATTTTATTTCCGTTAATAAAAGTATTTTATTTTCGGCAGTTTAGTTTCCGGCAGTCACAACACATTGCCTTCAAACAGCCGAGTTTGTTGATTAAAACTGAAAGAAAAGTTTCGTACATTTTGCAGAATAGCAACAATACAGCGTGGTAGAGATAAAGATGCTTATTTCGAATGGTATTGCCACTCCCCGTTTTCAATTAACAGTTAACGAATTTTGAATTAAATCTACTTCGTGGATAGCGCATAAACCACAATAGACTAAATGCACTCTTTAAAGCTCACTATGTTTATTTACCATAACGACATTTCGGCGCTAGGTTCACTTAACAGCATTATATCTCATTCATTTTATAACTCAGAGTGCACAAAAATTATATCATCTGAAAAATTACCACAAGTGCTATTCAAATACTATAATAAATATGAAACGATGTATAAAAGAAATTAAACAAATAAAAAAGAAATAGTTTTCCGCAGACTATTGAGTGCTGCTTACCTAATGCGCATGTGCTACTAATTAATTCAGTTCTCACTTCGCAGCAAGGCAAAAATACATAAAAATTCAAATATTTTAACTAAAATTTGAAAGATATAGAAAAACATAAAACGCCAAGTACAGTTTAAAAAATTTTTACAACTAAAATTACAGTTTCTACCTCAAAAACAAGCTAATAACTTAAAATGAATTAAGCATAATTTAATTCGCAATAATAAAAGAAGACGTTACATTGTTGTTGCGAAGTTTAGTTTCTCTAGATTGGCAACAAATCCAGTATTCTGCTAAGTTTCAAATATAAATAAACATGGCTGCCATGGTAATCAAAAATTAGGTCTAGCCGCACTTAAAAAAGTTTTAAATTATTGATAATTACACAATTATTGCATGCAGATTATCTAAAGGCATAAAAATCTTAAGCAGAACAACAAAATTCAATCATTTTTAAAGCAAAAAAATGCACAATTTACAAACATATAAGAATAAAGAAACTGAGCTCGCTGAGCCGAGTAACAAAGTGGATTATAAATACTTTTGGTGGAGCCGATTGCAACCAAAATACGAGGTGCACATATATGTTACAGCAGTCCTATACACAAAATTTCAAAGTTCTGAGACCATTCGTTTTTGAGTTATGCGAGATACGTACGTACGCACAGATGCCACGAAACAGAAAAATTCTCTTCAGAATTCATTTAAAATCAGTTTCATAATTTTTTTTGGGGGGGAAACAGTTCTTTATTCTGTTCTTACGGACAGATATCACGCAACATTGTTAAATTGCATTCGAAAACGGTCAAAATGGATATTTTTATTGAAATATGATACCTGAAATTTTTCGCGATTACAATACTTCCTTTTTACTTCGTACAAGGAAGTAAAAAAGGTCCTGAAAAATAAAAGCATTGAATACTTTGTAAATTACTAGTTCGTTGTGAGATTTCTTATTGCATACAAATCACATCATCTGCTTTGACTACTCTGATTGCTTAATAGCTCAGAAGAATTTATATACAAAATCTCCCTGTGTAGATGAAATGCTGTCAGGAGACATGTCTGCGATGAAGCCTTGTTCGGATATATGTCTCTTGGTGTAGACGAGGTTTTAACTGTGCAATTCTGTACCAATTTTGGCAGAGAACGTCACAGAGGATACATCCGAGGATCACTCACCTCTCCTTCGCTACCACGAAACCACTTAAGAGAACTTTCGGCTCACAAGTATTTTAAGAGCCCTCATGCCGTACAAACACCGTACACTTACAATGCCGTCTCCAGAATTCGAACTCGGGAATAACGATAGGGTCCGTAAGCATCCTTAAACAACTATATTTATCAACTGACTACATTGTCTCAAGTTTTGCTTTAGTAAAACTTCTCAGCGCTCTCGAAAATTTAAATAATATAAATGCAATTAATATTATTCTTAGATTAAGGAGAATTAGCTGACATCAGACATAAAGAGTTACAATATTAATAAAAATCTGATGTGTACACCACATGACTTCCTTGTACGGAATATTAAATTATACGCATTTTTTCTTGCATTTTCATTTAAACTTATTGGATTGAATTAAATCTACTTCGCCGACAGCGCATAAACCACAATAGAATAAATGCATTCTTTAAAATTAACTCTAGTATTTGTTTACCATAGCGACACTCTGGCGCTAGGTTCACTTAACAGTATTAATAATTATATAACAGTTAACTTATATAATAATTTTATACGGAAACTAAGTTAACTGTTATATAATCCAATAATTATATAACAGTTAACTCATATATTTCGTTCATATTATAACTCATAATGCACAAAATTTATATCATTTAAAGAATAGAATTATCTAATCGTTGCCACATGTTCTATTCAAATACTATAATAAAGCTAGAATGATGTATAAAAGAAATTAAGCAAAAGCAAACAAAAAAAAAAAAAGAAATAGTTTTTCACAGACGATTGAGTGTTTCTCATTTAATTAATTCAGTTCTCACTTCGCGAGAAGGCAAAAATACATAAAAACTCAAAATATCTATATTAAAAATTACGAAGTAAATTTTAAACGCTTATTTCCTCGAAAAATTCCAGAAAGAATTAAGCATGATTTAATTGGCAATACTAAATGAAGGCGTTATCTTTGTTGTTGCGAAGCTAAGTTTCTCTAGATTGGCAACAAATCCACTAGTCTCCTGTTTCAAATGTAAACATCAAATGGCCGCCATTAAAAAAAGCTTAGCGGCAATTAAATAACTTTTAAAATTGCTGATAATTCTAAAAATATTGCACACAGATTTACTAAAGGCATAAAATCCTTAACCGGAAGATAAAACAACATAATTCAATTATTTTTAAAGCAAAAAAAATGTACAATTTACAAACATATAAGAGTAAAGAAACTGAGATTACTGAGCCGGGTAACATAGTGGATATATATATATATTATATACGTTTGGTGCGGCCGATTGCACCAAAATACGAGGTGCACATCTAAATGTTATAGCAGTAGTCCTATATACAAGATTTCAACGTTCTGAGGCTACTCGTTTTTGAGTTATGCGAGACGTACTTACGTACGTACGATCACGCATACGTAAAACACGTACGTTCGTACAGACGCGACGAAAAATTCTCTTCAGAATTAATTTTAAAGCAGTTTTATAATTTTTTTGAAGGAAAAGAGTATTTTATTCTGTCCTCACGTACAGATATCACGCAAAAACATCGTGAAATTGCATTCGATAGCGGTCAAAATGGATATTTTCGTTGAAATATGCTGCCTGAAACTTTTCGCGATTACAATATCTCCCTTTTACTTCGTACAAGGAAGTAAAAATGTAATGCAAGTAAAAGGTATTACGACTGAAATTCCTTTCTGTAGTCTAACATAAATTTGTAGAAGCACATCTGAGTCCCGAATTTTATTTAATCAGAATATGAATTTTAAAAGATTTTCGAATCATTCGAATAAAAAGAAATGAATAAAATAGTAAGAAAAAGAAGGGGGGAAAAAACCTTTCATTTAATAATAAAAGTTTCCTGCTAAAGAAAAATCTGTTATTAACAAAAAATTAGTTTAAGAACATATTTTGAAACTACATATATATTTATTAATATTTTTAGCATTTTTTAAACTAAATTTGTCTTCCAAAAATCAACACGGGAAATCTATGCGAATACTTTAATTCCGAAGGACGTGGTGAAAGTAAGAACATAACAAAATGTTGTCATAGAATAAATTACAGGTAACTATCACAACACTATTTCCTTAGAAGAAACCTACATTCCAATAAGAATGTATGCATGTATACAGACATAATAAAAAAATACAAAGTAAAAAACAGTTCAAAACCGAATCTAATTGCGCGCTGAAATCATCAACAAGTTGTGATGATAATGCTAAATAAATTTAAAAATAATACGTTTAAAATTCATCCCATATTCATTTCGAAATAAAAATACGTAAAAACCAAAGACCAGAAGCACAGTGGCAAACTTTACAAAATACAAATTTTGAAACCCCGCAGAATAGGTCAAACATTTGTAAAGTTCCTTTAAACCAAATACCAGATGCACAGTGTTAAAATGCAAGAAAACGGGAGAAAAACATGCTAAAGCCAAAAAATGAATAAGAAATTTTCATTTTTCGCTGCATCAACATCATAAGGGAATTGATGCAACGAAAAGAAGTAAATAAATCAGCTCGCTTCTGAATCAATAAAGACATAAATTAACGAAAAATTAAAATAATCTCAAAAACAAATCATCTGTATCTTTATCAGCTCATCACCTGCAAGGTCGAAGCAAGCAGCGAAAACCATTAAAAAGTTATACCATCAAAAACATAAACAAATTTTTAAAGTATTATTTTGAGCAGATCGAGTCCAAAAAATGCAAATACAATCAATCCAACACGTGCAAAATCCAAAAACATATATAAATTTTGAAGCCCCGCAGGCTAGGTCAAACATTTGTAAAGTTCCTTTATGTTAATTAATTAGTTATTTTATGATTTAGACCTTTACTGCCATTTCTTCCTTTCGTTTCCATGCCAGAATGCAAATTAGTTCACATGTATTTAAGGTGAGGTTTTATATTGTAAGACACATTGTGTTCTGCCTCTCGAGGCCACGTTACTAGGGTG